CTGTTGCGTTGGGTTCCCGGCATGCGCGTACACCAAGTCCGTATGCTAGGATTAAAGCCAAGCCTGCAATCCCCCCAACTTCAAGCCTGCGCTGCTACCGCCTCCTTCCTACACTTGCGAGGTCGCGAAAGCTGTGGCGCATCCGCTCGGCATTCCCGTGTCTTTAGGTCATCAGGGTTCCTCATCAACAACTCAGTGGTGTTGGCAACCCCGCCTCGCCATCAGAGATTCACTTGCGTAAGCGTCAACAGTTGGGTGTGATAGGGCATGGGTTAATCCCAATGAGCACGCGTGTGTGTGATTGCTGATGTTGGCAATGTGGTTTCGTTGATGCGACATGAAGCCCCGGATTTGCTGAACAGGGCAGAGCAGCTGAGCAGCAGCTTGCGCTCACACACAGCATGAAGCCCAGGACATTGCAGCTCAAGCGCAACATCAGGTCAGTCATGTGAAGCAACAGGCACAAAGTGCCGTCCATCAGGTTCAGCAACAAGCTCAGGCAGAGGTAGCGTTTGCAAAACAGCAGGCAATGCTCTCCGAAACTTTGGTTGCAGAATTGCGTTAGCGGAATTTGGGGTACCAACGAGAAAGCTACCATCGCCAAGGCTAGTTGCCTTGGGATGTGTGTCCCCAAACAAATCAATGTCAACTTCGGGATAATCCTCAAACCAACCCTGATCACCGTAATCCTCTCTCCTTCTCCTTGCTGCGATGCCAAGTCGTACATGTCAGGGCCCAGCAGCGGAGGTGTCGGTGCGGCTGATTTGTGTTCTGCCATCGCGGCTTTAGCGGATGTAGCTCTAGCAATTACATGAGAGGATGCAGCAGGCGGAGCAGCGATGGGTAAAGCAGCATGTGGGATGGGAATGCCGACGGGCTTGGCGCTAGCCTTTCTACCCTTAGCTTTCGCCTTTGGGGATGCTGTCAGGCAAGATGCTAATATCACCTGTTTCAATTCAATGCTTTCATGGCACCAGCAACTGCAGCCATGTTCGGATCCGCGCCATTGGGGCTTTGAAGCTGTTGCGGGTGCAAATGGGATGTGTCCGTTTGCTGCGCGTTCTCTGCCTGCGTTTGATGTACGATGGATTGCCATTGCGCCATTTGCTGCGTCGTTTCTGATTGCTGCTGTTCAAGCTGGGCAGGCTGCAAGTGAAACTGCAGATGAGGATTATGAAGGCAAACGTACAAGCGCAAGGATTTGAAAGACTTCAAGCTTCTTGCGCTGCCAAAGGATAGTGCAGGATATCGATCATGGCGAATCGCGGTATTGACGCAGTTTGGGTTGATTGATCGGACAGGAGCTGCCAGGATTCTTCGTTGGCTTCAGGCGTGCTTCCAACCAGAAGCCAACGCGGATACCATCGTTGCGTTGCAAAGTGATGCTGATCGGCTTCCCCGGCTTGACGCGTGCTTAGTACTTGGCATCTCAGGTCAGCAAGACTAGGTGCACGAAAGGAAAGTTTGGTCTAGCGTAGAGAGATTCAGTCGTACATTGAAAGCCCGCATGCGCGCAGCATCGCGCCATCCTTCGTGTCGATGGTGTGCGTGGTGTGAGTGTGACACGGCAGACCCTGCTGGCTGTTAGTTTGGAGGGCTACTCGTGCAACCAGATGATCGCGTTTAAGGAAAAGTAGAACACATCCTTAATGATTACCTTCATGGAATGCCTCCAGAAGCATAGCCAGCGCGCGCCGCGCTTTTCAGTTGGTTTTACGGGAAGATCAAAGCATCACGCGGGATGCAGCGCATCATAGACAAGAGCAAGGACAGTGCCACAAACTCCAGCATGTGATCTTTCTCATGGTTCTGGAGAGACTTCCGAGAGGCCATGATGAAAGAAACAAA